TAATATTATTATTAATTAAGTAATAATATATATATTTTTACAATTTAACTCTCATAGAAATAAATATTAGAAGTTTGTAATAATATGTAATAATAAAAAAAATAATTTAAGACAATATAGTAGTTATTGAAAAGGTCCAAAAAAGAATTGTATAATAAAAGATATTTAATCTATATATTACTAAAATAGGTTTTTAAAAAATTTTATTTTATCTCTATTAGAGCAAATTTGAATTTTTTGTATACAAGAGCAAATTTAATTTAGATAATTATATTTCTTATAATTTTATCTCTTTAAAAAAAATATTAAAAATTTTGTCTTTTAAACAAAATAGATCAAAAACAATTTTATCTTCAAATTTTAATTTCAGATTTTAGATTTTAAAATAATTTTATTGGCATGTATAATCTATTTTATATATATGAGTATCTAAATAGATTATTACAAAATTTATAATGATTTATTTTTAAATAGATATATTTTTTTTGCTAATACTCATATAGATACTAATTTTTAATATTTATATAATCAATTCTGGTTGGCTAATTTTTGTATAATTAATTCTGATTGGTTAAAAAAATATTTTTTTATATATTAAATCTAATTTTTTCATATAAATAGAGTTATTAATAAAGTAGAGTGGAGTAGATTAAAATTAGATAGAGCAGGTCTTACTCCAATCTAACTTAAGTTATATTTAAATTAATACTCCAGGTTATATTCTAGATTGTGCTTTATATTAGTACTTCAGGTTAATACTTTAGGTTATATATATTACCAAAATAGGTTTTTAAAAAACTCTATTTTATTTCTATTAGAGCAAATTAGAATTTTTTATATACAAGAGCAAATCTAATTTAGATAAATATATTTCTTATAATTTCATCTTTTTAAAAAAAGTTTTATCTTTTAAGTAAAATAGATCAAAAACAATTTTATTTTCAAATTTTAATTTTAGATTTTATATTTTAAAATAATTTTATTAGCATGTATACTCTAGGCTAATTGAGTAGGATAAAAAGCTCTGACAAATTTTGAACTAACTAAATATCATTGTGTCTGAGAAAAACCTATCTCTAAATTAAAACTTTATTTAGCAATTATTGTATAATTATACTAAGCAGCTTTATGTATATATAGTCAAATCTCTTTATAATTACACTCTTAGTTTTAAGAATTTGATGTTTGTAGAAGTTTGTACTTATATAGAGATTAAATTTTATAAATACTATATATATTGGTTTTAAAATTTTATGTGATTATAAGCAAATATAACTATAGAGAAGGTGAATATAGAGAGATCTGACTATATTTATTAAGATTTTTGTGCTGCTATATAGCTATAAAGCTATATATATACTAATACATATACTAATACCCATTAGTATCATATGCTTAAGCTATTAATCAGATAATTATTAAGCTGCTTTCAGTCACTAAGCTATGATTATACTAAGTAGTTTCTAATTTATAAAGTTATTAAGCTACAATTAAGATCTTTGTACTGCTACGTATTTATAAAACCTTATATATATTAATGCCTACTAGTATAAGATATTTATACAAAGCAGACTCTATGTTCTATATTCATTAAGGTCCTTGCACTACTATAAAGCTGTAGAGATTTATATCTACCAATATCTATTACATATTTAAGCTATTGATCAGTAGTTATTGAGTTGTTTTCAGTCACTAAGTCATGATCATACTAAGCAAACTCTAATATATATAATCATTGAGCTGCAATTAAGGTTCTTGCACTGTTATGTAGCTATAGAATCTTATATTTATTAATGTCTATTGGTATAAGATACTTATGCAAAGCAAACTTTATATCATATATTTATTAAGATCTTTGTACTATTATATAGCCGTAGAGCCTTATTTCTATTAATACTCAATGACATTATATGTTTTAGACATTGATTAATAGTTATTAAGCTGCTTTTAGTCATTGAGCTATGATCATAGCAAATTCTAATTTACAAAGTTATTAAGCTACAATTAAGATTCTTGTACTGCTATGCAACATTGGTACCATATATCTATTAATGCCTATTGGTATATATACTTACACTAAGCAAACTCTATATCATATATTTATTAAGATTCTTGTACTGCTATAGCTATAGAATCTTATATCTACCAATACCCATCAATATACATGTTTAAATCATTGATTGAGTGTTTATTGTATTGCTTTTATCTACTAAGCCACAATTATGCTAAACAAACTCTAATTTATAGTTAATGAGCTGCAATTAAAGTTCTTGCACTGCTTTATATTTACTAATAATCTATTAATACCAGACTTTATGTAACGTTAGGTCCTTGCAATACTACATGCCTTACAACCATCGATATATAATATTTAAATCATTAGTTGAGTAGTCATTGTACTATTTTTAGTTACTGAGCCACAATTATACTAAGCAAACTCTAATTTATATAGTATTAGGCTGCAATTAAATTTCTTGCACTACAATGTAGCTGTGGTGCCTATATCTATTTATTAACTATTAATCAGGCAATCGCTGTACTAAGTCATGATTATGCTAAGCAGACTTCATATTATATAGTTATTGCTAATTCATTTTTAACTTTTTGGGTAGAATGGGTAAGATGACAAAGCTAGTCTAATATTATAAGGTAGGCGATAGCAAAACCAAAGATGAAATCTCTTTAATACAATTTTTTTTCTATATATACCAGCTTTTATATGATTAGGCATAATATCATATTATATTTAATTATGTAAAAGCTGGTATATATAGAAAAAAATTGTATTAAGGAGATTTCATCTTTGGTTTCGCTATCATAGAGTAATATTATTAGATTTGTAAACATAATATCATATTATACTTACAAATCCATGTACTATGATATTATTTTCGATTTTGCAATAATGTTGGCTCTATTATTTCATTGATGAGCCAATTATTTTCACATATATAAAGAAACATTATATAGAAAAAGGCAGTTCGGGCCTTTAATTATATATTGTACCAGACATAGTTCCTAAATTATATTCGGTACAAAATATATTTGCAAGTCTAAACTGCCTCTTATATTTGGCAGTACTTATATATACAGTATTAAACACGTCATATAAAAAATTTAGAATACAAGAATATTTTGCATAATTTGAGTAAATTGTGATTAAGTACAAAAGAACTTATAAAAACAATATATATCACAAGTATCTTATGTATTATTTATTTGTACAATTGATATTAACTTTGTGCAAAAGATATACAGTCAAACCTCTCTATAATCACACCCTTGATTTTAAGAATTTGGTGTTTATAGAGAGTTGTGCTTATATAGAGGTTAAATTTTATAAATGCTATATATGTTGGTTTTAAATTTTTATGTAATTATAAGCAAATATGACTATAGAGGATGTGACTATAGAGAGGTCTGACTGTATATACATATACTGTATATATACAGTACCGGATACTATATATATTGTGGTTTGTTAATATATATACAGTCAGACCTCTCTATAGTCACCTCCTCTATAGTCATATTTGCTTATAATCACATAAAATTTTAAAACCAACATATATATAGCACTTATAAAATTTAACCTCTATATAAGCACAAACTCTCTATAAGCACCAAATTCTTAAAACCAAAGGCGTGATTATAGGGAGATTTGACTGTATTATTAAAAAACCTTTTATTTAGTCATTTTTTTTATTTTAAATATAACTGTGACTATATAGAGAATACCTCTATATTAGTCACACCCTTATATAATCACGGTTTTTTGTATCCCGAAGGTGTGACTATAGAGGGGTTTGACTGTAGTTTAAATATTGTTTACTTTAGCAAATATTATTTTATCTTTATTTTTATTTAATCATTGTCGCAGATGATCGCGAAATCGGATGATGGTGAAATTTGTGGTCTCAATTTGAAAATATAAGCCCTACCAAAATCCATCTATACCCTTTTACTGATAATTCTAACCCTACTCCTAACTTAACTATAAAAAAAAAAACCCGACAAAAAAGATCCGATTTCATGATCATCCGTTATATATGTGTTCAAGAAATGTAATTAATGAATATGCATATTATCAATTTAATCTACAATAACAATTCGCTTATTAAGACATCATCAGGATTCAATGTGTGATATAGTTCGACATTGAAATCATTATTAACCAAAAGTTTTTGGCACATTTTATCAATAGCAATAGTACTTAATACAGTTTGCACATATGCGTCAATTAAATCATCAATACCCAATCCAATAATATCAAACTCTTTCTGGTCGATCGTAATTACCCTTTCATATTCTGATATCCACCCGGAATCTAATTTAACGGATACGTTTGTTCCAAAGATCTCCCATGAGGTTACTATTATATTTAAAATAAGAGTTTTCATTAAAACTAGGTAATGTATATCCATGCAAAAATAAATTCTATATCCAATCCAGCATTACGAAAAAGAACAGAAAGCAGAAAGAATGTTATATAAGTTATATGTTAATGATTAACTTACGATTAGAATCATTTGGTAGGTAAGTAGGGAGTGGCTTATGAGCACGTCGTAAACGAATAGCTACAGGGTGAAATCCAGTCTCATCGGCAGATACCATTATTCTCAAGTCATTAACAAAAATTCGGTTATGACGATCTGGCACAGTGCCGATATGGTAAAATTTTCCAGGATATAATTTTGTAGACCATAATGCATTTCAACAAGAGATTGTACAATAAATTTTTCGTAATGTTGATTAGCATCAAAGAATCCCTTCAATTCTTCCGAATTAGTGATTGTGTAAACACCCTGCCCTAATTTTGCAAAAGATAATTAGATCCATGATATTTATAATTTCAATAATCAAGCTTGTTACTTGTTTCAATTGGAAATAGATTTTGTATAGAAATATTTACCGCAACTACCATAGGGAACTTTGACCACTGCATGGCCTCCCATTTTTTCGATACATGAAGAAATTTCACTTTTGTTCACATTACATATGGTTTCTGGAAAACGAATGGCAAGGCCACTTTCGGATAGTTCATTATTAAATAATTCAAATGATTTTGATGCCATAACTTTGTTATGACCTCCAGCTAAACATGAGATTATATTATTAAAAACTACAGTCTTGGATTTTAGAGGAAAACGAATCCAAGGTTTATGAGCCATATGCTTAAAACATGCTCTTATAGAGTGCCA